CAGAGCGGGTAGGGAGAGAAAATAAGATTCTTTCGGTGTTTGAACAATCCTGACCAAAGAGAGCTGGAATGAAAGAATTGGAAATGGTTGATTCAAGATCATCAAAAAGATATCCACAGTCCTTTGTGACCCGTTGCAGAAATGTCCACTCATGTTGAAGGGATTTATTATTATTATTATTATTATTATTATTATTATTATTATCATCATCATCATCATCATCATCATTATTAGAATACACCACTTGGTAATGCCTGTTTAAGAGGATATACAGGAATAGTTGAAGTACTACTGGAGCATGGTGTAGCTAATATCAATCACACTAATAAACAAGAAGTAAGAGACAAAATAATGATGATATTATTTATTGTCATTATTATCATTATCATCATGCTAGCGTACACCACTTGCTATGGCATGTATAGAAGGACATACAGAAACAGTTAAACTACTACTGGAGCATAAGAAAATTGATGTCAATGTCATTGATAAAAATGGAGTAAGAAATAGTATTTACATAGTATTATTATTATATTAAGAACTAGTTAAACAAGCTTATTCATTATTTGGGCGAGCATTTATTATTATTATTATAATATTATTATTATTATATTATTATTATTATTATTATTATTATTATTATCATTATTATTATGTAGCTTACACCACTTTGCAATGCCAGTATACCAGGACATGCAGAAATAGTTGAACTACTACTGGAGCATCCTGTGGCTAATGTTGATCACACTGATAAGGATGATGTAAGAGATATAATAATACTGCAGTTTCATTGCATTTCATTTTGTGGTTTAGTGGTTTGTGTAAATAAGATTCTACCATGCCAAATTTAAATTGACCAATCAGATTGCAGAATACCAGGTTTTTAAATCTATTAGATACCTCCCAGGAACACGCAGTCGCTCAGTTAATAAATGAATGACTCTAGAATGAATAGAATGACTCTGGAGAAGTCCCTTTGTCTTTTTTGCTTCATTTGATTTGTTTGTTTTTTGCTGTAGTCACACTGGAAAAGTTTACAATATGTAAAAATAAATGATAATGCATGTCAAACCACAGAAAAATGTCTATTTTGAGATTTGATCTATGCTAACATTTTTTTTCTTCACCAGTTCTAATCACAACATCACTACACAAAAAGCAAAGTAGCAAACTCATATAGAACTCACCTTATAAATTAACTGTTGACATACATATAAATGCATATACATAGATTGCACATAGGCCCTTCAATCATGAACTGTAGGCTTCATTCCAAATTATAAAGTCATTAAAGCACCATTCCCTTTCATCCCTTTATTTCATGTTATTGTCCTGTAGGATACACCACTTATTATGGCTTGTATAGGAGGACATAAAGAAGTAGTTGAGCTACTAATAAAGTATAAAGCTGATGTCAATCACACTAATAAACAAGAAGTAAGAATCACAGTAATTAATAAATTGTTGTTATTATTATTATTATTATGTAGCATACACCACTTGTTTTAGCCTGTATGGGAGGGCATGCAGAAATAATTGAACTACTAAAGGAGATTGGTAAAGTTGATATCAATGTTACTGATAAACGAAAGGTGAGAATTAATATATTAATATTAATATTTATTATTATTATTATTATTATTATTATTATCATTATGTAGAATGCACCACTTGTTTTGGCTTGTATGGCAGGACAAAAAGAAGCAGTTGAACAATTACTGAAGATTGGAGCTGATGTCAATGTCACTGATGAACAAAATGTACAACCATTAATACATTAAAATTATTATTATTATTATGTAGCGTGCATCACTTGTTATTGCCTGTGA